TAAAGTGTTTGTGGTAACAACTCTACCGCAGACCCTGGATCACCAATGGCTTCTGTTTCCTTAAAGGAAAAGTTCCCCAAGATACTTCTGTTATCCTTTCTTTCAGCCCTTGGACTTTCCTGAATGGAGCATCTTGGACCAGTTCACTATATAAATGAGAGATTGGAGGAGATGATTGATACAAAGACTCATAAAATATGCCTTGGCCCTTTCTCCTTTTATCTCTTCTTTTATAACTTTGGCTTTTTATAACTCACTTGGAGATACATTTTAAGGTCTGCTTGTGTCAGACCTGTTATGATTTATGACTCTGCTTTCTCACCCCACCCCCTTGGCAGAACATTAAAATATCACTGAAGGCCACGTCTCTGGCCTATTACTATATTAAAAACAAGGATATATTAAGACAGGCAGAGGCCCGAGACAGTCTCCAGGAATAGCTTTCCTGAGTAAATACACCCAGCACACAAATTACATTAATTTTGACCTCAGAAGCATCTTCCTGTAACAAAAGACTTACCAATTAGTCTTTCCATGGAAATCAGAAGAGTTTGGTGGTAGCCTTTGGAGGCCTCTGTTTAAAAGTCTGTAGCAAACTTAACTCTAAGAAAAATGGCTGAAAATAATTTGGTTTACTGGACCCATGATGCTCACATTTTCTCAAGTATAATAATCTGGCATCTTCCTCTGGAGATTATGGTTCAAGAGGTCTTACGCTGGAATACGGAAAGCTGCATCTTTCATAATAAGCTCCCATTTTATTATGCTGCGGGTGTGTGGGGACCTCTCTTTGAGGAGTACCCGCCCAGGCCTTCTTTCTGAGAGGTCTTTTTGCAGAAGCTAATGAGAGGTGGTTCTAGTTAGGGTTTTCAGCAGAACACAAGGGAGCGTGAAGGGTAAGGGGCAGTGGCCACCACCTGCGGTCATGGATTGAATTATCTGATGGCTCTAGAGAGGAACAATGACCCTCAGCACCTGGTGTTACCCGTTACCCGTTACCGTGACTCCCACTGTATTGTAGTTATCTATTTGCTTGTTTTTTCCCCATTAGACTTAAGGGCAGGGACCATGTCTTTCCTCTCTGTACACAAAACCCCTAATGCCATGCTCAGTAAGAATCTGCTGAAGGCTGAATATCTAACTAAATGAATAGACAGACGAATAAATGAAGGAGTGGGTTGCCACTCTTCACAAAGGAAGATACAGCCAAAGGTTTCTAGCTGAAAAGTTTGACCAAACTTGAGAAATGTAACCAGCAGAGGATGATGTGAACATATGCCAGTATATGTGTTTAAGTGTAAGATAGTCCTTTCCTATTCAGTTTATGCAGGAGTTGGGGTCCTGCAGCAGCTCCCAAATGTGGCTGCACCCCATCATCATCTAGGCGCTTTACCCCTCATGTGCTATTTTATTTTCAAGTGGAAAAGTAATATATACACTTGGTGGAAAGAAATGCCTGACCTCCTCTTGCACCTCCTCAGTGCCAGTCACACCCACCAGTGTCTTGTGTACCCTCCAGGTATATGCTGTGCACTTGCACACATAGCTGCTTTCTTACACAAATGATCACATGCTGTGAACACTAAATTACATTTCATTTCTTCCATTAACAATGTATCTTAAAGATTGTTACATATTAAGACATATAGACCTAAGTAATTATTTTATTATAATAGCTGTGTAGTATTCCACTGTCCATCACAGACCTATCTATCTATCCATCTATCTAGTAACCCATTGCTCTTGTCAGCGATGTTGCAATGAAGATCAGTGAATGTGTCTCTTTGAAAGCATGAGCAGGTACGTGTACAGTAAATTTGTAAGGTGCTGTGCCTAGGTCGAAGCGATTGTACATTTTAAATTTTGCACAACTGCTCTCCAAAGAGGCTGCACCAATTACATTCTACTGACAAGGTGAATGGAAGTGCCTATCTCCCCACATCTTTGTTGGTTCAATTTTAAAAACAAAGATTATGAAGCCCTCACACATCTATTGCCTTTAAACTTTCTAAGATCAACCGAGGGACATTCATGTTTTTAAAGTTCATAACATGAGATGTTATCAATATTTTCATTTCACACTATTTCAGGTTTCTATGATGCAGATATACATGGTCCATGGACCCGCATTTGGGAGCCACCAGGCTGATGTATATACACCTGGACTAGACACCTGCTTCCACGGTCCTGAGATCTCTCCCATTTATAAACCCACAGCAAAGAAATGGGAAACTAGTCTGGGTTGAAAATAACGTCTAGCAACTTTGGATTTACAGTTCTCCATTTTCTTCTGCCTTTCTGTGTTTTTCATTTGAGTCTCAAGGCTCCTTTTTTTCCTGAATGGATCACTCAGGGGCTAATATTTTTTTCCACAGGTTCACAAAGATGTACTTTAAACACGTACTCTTTGAGGACACGTTATTTGACGAGTGCTATTTTGAAGACGTTACATCTACTGATACCTATTTCAAGAACTGCACCATTGAATCGACCGTCTTTTATAACACAGGTAAGAGCGTGGACAGAGTGAGGAGACTGTAACAAGGGCTTGTTGTCTAGACCCACGCTGCTCAGTCATAAGCTTCAGAAGTTGTAAAGTATTCACAGATACAAGTGAGCCTTCATGTGGAGAAGTGGGTACCAGCCCCAGGTGCGGCACAGAGAAGCTGCGCAGCCTTACTGAGGCATTGAACTGATCTGCATCTCAGTTTTATCACATGTGAAATGGAAAAGCACAAAAGTACTGGGCAAGTGTTCTGATCTCAATGAGACGGATGCTTTGCAATAAGGGTCTTTGGCAGGAACAGAATATGACAGAGATAAAAATCAGCGTTCTGGGGAGGGCTGCCTCTTATGTGTAGAGTGCATTCTTGCAGACCTTGCATAATTTGAAATTTACAAAATTCAAGATGCATGTTTTCCCAATAACAGATGGAAAGAAAAAATTGCATCTTTTCAAGCTTTGCGCATGAAATGAGACAAGACTATTTTAAAATCACCCCATTTCAGATTTCCACGATTAAAAGAAAATCACAAGATTGTACCACTTCCTCACTCCTTGTTATTTTTAATACTCTCATCATAAATTAATACCAAGTGGAGTTGGGTTCTAAGGAAGTGAACTGAGCTTTACCAGGGGCTTCACCTCCATTGTCTCAAGTGAGAGATTTATTATTATCCCGGTCTTCTAGCTAAGGACACAGAGGCTTAAGCAAGCTGCCCAAAGCCACAGCTAGCAAGCTGGGGGAGCTTGGATTCACACCTCAACTATTTAGCTCTAAACTCTGCAATCTTTCCACTGAACTACTTGCCGTATGTCCAGGCCAGTTCTTTCTCCCTGGCGTTGGCACCAAGGCACGGTTTATGCAAGAGAATCTTTTTTCCTTCATGATGTCAGCCCCAGAGGTTTAATATCTGGCCTCTTCAATATCCCTCAGTCTCAAACCATTATGAGATTCCCCTTCCTAATTTATTTTTTATCCTAAAAGAATAATAATGACTTCTATACATTTACTATTTGTCATCAAAACCTGGCATAGCTTTTATTTTCTTCTTTCAAGTTTTAATGATGCCTCTTGGTTTGCATATTCTTAACATGGTTTTTTTGTTTTTGTTTTTGTTTTTTTGCAAATGCATGGTCATGAAGAATGTCAGAGCTGGGCAGCAGCAGAGAATATCCCGTGTCTTCCTCTAATTGTTACAGGTGGAGGCTCAGGGAGGTAAAAGAGGGTCAGTGGCAGAGCCAGTCCCCCAAACCCAGGTCTCCTGAGAACCTGTGTAGTGATTTTTCTGCTAGAATAGCTGATGTTAGAACGTGTCAGAAAACATGTATGATCCAAAGAAAATGGTCATTATTTTTTAAGACTCTTTTTTTTAAGAGAAGTTTTAGGCTTACAACAAAATTGGAAGAAAGATACAGTGATCTCCATGTATGCCCTGCCCCCACACCTGAGCCTCCCCCATTATCAATATCCCCTACCAGAGTGGTACCTCTGTGACAATGAACCTGCATCGACATATTATCGTCGGCCAAAGTCCATCGTTCACATTAGGGTTCATTCTTGGTGTGATACATTCTGTGGGCTTGGGCACATGGATAATGACATATATCCATCAACATAATATCACACAGAGCATTTTTACTGCCCTAAAAATCCTCTGAAGTCTGTTCATGTCTATTCCTGCCCTGCCCCCCAAACCACTGAGCAAATGGCTTTTATTTTGAAGTGTGTTCAGGTTTCTGTGTGAGCTTTGGGGTGATTGGCTCAAGCTGGACCCAATTCTCTGGTTGTCTGCCTCCTATAAGCTGAGTAGCCTCAGAGGAATAGCCCAGTTGCTGTGAACCTCAATGTTATCCCATTGATACAAACCAGACTGTCATCTAGCTTGAAAGATGATGTATGTCCCTCAACGAATGTTCATTTCCCTTTGCTTATAGGAACTTCAACAGGTCCTGACATTTTTAAGGGTTTCTCACTTCTTCCATACCTGGCCACACGTCACCTTGACTTTGAGACTGTCTGATTGCCAGAGGGTGGGGACGCCTGCCAAAGGAAGGGGCATTCCTCCATCCCTGACTCTGCCCCAAGTCTCCCCACACGAACCCAAAGTCCCCTACACTTCACACGAACCCAAAGTCCCCTTCTCTCCGCAGACCTCTACCAGCACAAGTTCATCAACTGTCATTTTATCAACGTCACCTTTCTGGAGCAGAAGGAGGGTTGCCACATGGACTTTGAGCAAGACAATGACTTCCTGATTTACCTTGTCAGCTTTCTCGGCAGTCTGTCTGTCTTGCCTGGGAACATCATTTCTGCCCTGCTCATGGATAAAGTCGGGAGGCTCAAGATGATCGGTGAGTGAGTAGGGACGCCACATCTGTGTCCGAGTGGGCTTGGACCTTGGCTTAAAGTGTATTAAAATAGTGGAATTTTTCTTTTTCTTAAAGAGATCTGGAAACCACACAGGTAAGATGGCATCTGCTGGTGTAGAGCCAAGGAGGTCTGTCTGCAAAGCCCTGGGGTCCTGGGGAGGTGGTCTGAGACCTCTGGTCCATGCCAGGAACACATCTTCATTTCCTGACTCAGCAATTCTGTGACAGTTCCTTATTATGTTAGTAGTCCAATAGGATATTAAATATATCCACTCTACCAGCTTCGTATTCTTATTGTTGAAAAAAATACATAAAATGCTCTTAAATGAACCCTGGTTTCATTTGATGATTTAAAATAAATCATATTACTTACTTATTATTATTTAATAGGGAGAGCATTTTGGATTTTGGAGTTGGACAGGCTCATGATGGACTCTTAACACCTAAAGGCTGTTTGACTTTGGACATGTTCCTTTGCTTCTCTGGGCCTTGTCCTGTAGATAAGGAAACCTATCATGGGCTGGTGGGGATTTGTGAGGGTGGAAAGTAATGTACCCAAAGCATCTCATAGCAGGTTCTCAAAAATGGTAGCCATTTTCATGTCTGTCTTGCTTCATTCCACCAGATTTGTAGCAGTTTGTTAGAAAAACACATGCCTGGCATGATAAACAAAACAAAACAAAACAAAACAAAAATATACACCCAGAGCCAGGGAAATGTACACATATTAGAATGTGAGTCAAGGCTAGGGGAGGGGAGGTAGACAATGTGCTAGTAAACATGCCATGAATTCTGCCCCAGGTATGTAGTAAGATTAATTCCAAGATCCTCGCGGCAAAACTCAAAAGGAAACAAAATAAATTACATAGTCATTTTGTCAGAGAAGAGCAAATTGATCTGGTCTTTCTGGGAAGAATTTCCTGGTGTTTGGCTCATATTGAATATTATTGTTATTGGTAGTGGCACGAATATTTAGAATGGTGAACACAAGACATGCCTGTGATTTCTGCTTTTTTTTTAATCTTTAAGAATATATGGTTTTAATCTTAATTTTTTTTTGTTAGTGGAGGTACTGGAGATTGAACCCAGGACCTCATGTATGCTAAGCACGCACTTTGCCGCTGAGCTACACATGCTCTCCACCCTCCTACCTCCCCTCACCCATTGTAATCTTGCGGTGAGGACGGCGTCACCTCTCTGGCATGGCAGATTGAGCTTTGTCCTCTGTCAGAGGCAGTGCCCTGGTTAGACCTGAAACCCACGGAGGGAAGAAGGCGGCTTATTAACTTCTGTGATGCCCGTGACCAGCACAGTGCCTGCCACTTGGTGTTGCTGTGGAACTGACTGGCATCAGCGAAGATGAGTCAGAAGCACCAAGCTTTTCAGTGGGAGGTGCTGCAGGCTGGCACGGTGTAAATGACCAGTGGCTGGCCGTCAGGTGGCCATCTCGGCCAACGCTTGCTTCGTGAGCCTGCACACCTTCCTTGGCCTCTCTGAGCTTCTGTTGCACAACGGTTCTAAGAGCACCTCTGCTCCAGTGAGAGAAGGCATGTGAGAGTAGATGTGTGACACTTCTCCCTGTCTGTCACTGCCCTTTTCAGTCCCAGGGTCGAGAATGAATTCTGTGGTCAGCTCCTAGGGTGGCTGAGGAATTTCTCGGGAAAGTAAGGTCTATGAAGGGTGGAGTGGGTGCACCTGTGAACGAAAATGGACCGCCTCCCTTGGCCAGCCGCACACGGCCACACAGGAGCGGAGGGAGGGCTGAGAGCTGGGTGCAGGGCCCAGGCAGGGCAGGGGGAGGGTGGACATCCTTTTCTTTGCTGTTGAAGCCTTTCTTGCCATCATGAATGTATCCCAGACAAAAATTGGTTTCTGTAATGCTAAATAGAGCCATACACCCCAAGCTGGATATCTGAAACTAATTTTATTATTCTTTATATCTTATTCTTTTATTAATGTCGGTATTTTGTTTCTGAGCTAGATTATTAAAACTCAAGCAGTGCTTTCTTTATATCATCTGGGATATTCTGGGACACAATAAA